TTTTGTCAAAGAATTTGAACATAAAGGAAACAATATTCTATATTATTATACTGAAACGAAAGGAAAAAATGTGCTATTTTTTTCTGTTCTTGAGGCACTTCAGGAGAAGAACGTTTTGTGTAGTTAATTTTTACAAAATTAAAAAATACTGGAGTAAATAGCTGTGAGTTGACGTGACTGCTTGACATAGAAGATCGGAGATAATCCGTTGTTGCAGCATTTGTCATTAACCTAAAAGGTTTAATGCTTCCAGCATCGTTGACATGGCTGAGGAGACCAATATCCCGGAGCACGTTCCAGCCGGGAAAATGGAGCTTACGGGAATGGCACTGGGATGGTGCAAGCTGCTGAGATCTGTATCACTTCATCTTAAAGAGCTGCTGTTCATGGATCCTGTGGATAGTGCGGGGTGTCCTGGCACTCGCGCTTGGACGGAGCAGGTCCGTGTGTTCGGCACTGGTGTTTGAGGCTTGCACAGAGAGGTCAGCTTCTTGTAAAGGTAATAGTTGGAGGCAGGGGAGGACAGCCCATCATGTCCAGCTATTGCAGATCAGGTTCATTAACATCTCATTTTAATCACCTCATTTGCAGAAAACCTAATTTGCGGAAAAATTTGCACTTTTCAGACTTTGTCTAAGCAAGGAGTTTTTATACGTGGGCTTTGACATAGACCTCAGTGGAAAGTTGTACGTTGGTTTGGTATTAACTGTTCATAGTTATTTATGATAGAAATTTTCCAAGGAGCATTGTTCTGCTGTCTCTCACCGATTCAAATTCTATTCATTTTTCCACTGAAAGATATATAGTCATTGAGCTTCTGCCATGGTTATTTTTATAAACCCTAATTTATAGGTAATTATTTTATGAAATGATAATAAGTGCATATGATTATACTGCATTGTGTCAGTGTACCCAGAAAGTGGTGAAAGTAGCAGTAGCTGAGAAGAAATAGGGAAACGGAATCAGCCCTTTATTTCAGAAGGTCTTAATTGCAGACTGCCTGTGTTGTTTGTTTGTTTGTTTTTCACCTAATTACATTTATATATATATATTTTATATATCTATACACACACATTTAAGGTGCAAAGATTTTTTTTTCTGTTTTGGAAACCATCAAGTCTTTGATAGTTGGAGTCACACTAATAGCAGACTGCCAGGTTGCTTTAAACCTTGCGTTCGTATGTATAGTACTGACTTAATTTTACCACGGGAGAGAAGAGTATATGGTGGTGACCCCTCTAATTAATAAGGGAGTGTTTCATGGTTTTGTCATGTAGTTCTCCGTCTCTTCTCTACTGTGTGTAGACCACAGCAGGGTCAAATTCTGCTCATGGGGTCAACCACGGGGCCACCAAGTCAAACTTGAGACCGTTTTAATTGCTTTGTCAAAAAGTAATACTTATAATGCTAGAGGAGGTTTGTGCAAATCTCCTGAAATTAATAGTTTCTGCTATTTCTGGTGAGGATTTCATTTGAAAATTGATTGTGCTCAGTATTAGGCTCTTTTTATATGGTTTAAACATAAGTTAACATTCAGAAATCGTCTGGTATTTGCGATGCTTTGTTGAGTGCCACTGCAATGCTTTTTAAAATTTGGAACCAATTATTGTAATGCAGTTGTTTTAGGAAACCCCTAATGCCCTTCAAGGAAACCTTTTAGCATGCAAAAGAAAATGAAGGGCACAAGTATCATATTAAACTCTCATAAATGTAAATATATTCAATTTAAGTGTGCCATGTATGAAACAGTGTCCTTAAAATAACTGCACAGGTGAAGTAGCCCAGATAGTTCAGGATCTTCCCTTCCTGTGTCTTTCACAAGGGTGGTTGGCGTTGGGGGCAGTTTCTCCTCCAGCCCCGTTGAAGGCTCACGCGCTGTGGACGCGGTCGGACAGGACCGCGCCGCAGGTGGAGCTGGGAGCGCTGCTCCGTCCCGTGGGCTTGTGGCGCCCGGCGCGCGGGTCGAGCCCACGCGCGCGTCGCTGCCCTTAGCTCCTCTGCAGGCCTGTGCGCCGGTACAGAACCGAAGCCATGCACTGCGCGGGGGAGTGACTGATGAGAATGGAGGTTAGAAATACACCTACGGCCTTGGACAAAAATGATAACAAACATACGTGTGTCGTCATTTTCTGGACCGTGCTTCCCCCCTCCCTTTTTTTTAATGAGGTTGGCTTATTTAGTGTACGTGTAACTGTAATATCCATGTCCGGAAAGGTGTTAAATAACGTTTACAAAGCGCTGGCCATTTGCCGGGCGCAGCGCTAGGATGCCTGTGCCGAAGCGCTGGACGCGTTGGGCTCCC